AAGTGTTTCTCACTTCTTGCTTTGCCTTTTACTTCTGAATCTTGTGTAATTTTGTGACTAGGCAACATAAAATCTCCAGGTGCATGTGAGGTGTCCATCTTTGGTTTTCAGATGTGAGGCTGACCTTTGTAATTAAAGATTCTCGAGGCAGTTTCGGAAGTCAGATCTACGAAGCGACACTGACTATAAAAATCAGTTTTGATAAGAAAGTTATTTCCCTGCAAGTAATCTGTGTAATAATTTGGACTAAGCAGTTTAAACAGTTTAACTCCTTTTTACTTCTGAATAGGCAAAGAACAGGAAGGTTCCCACGCTATAAAGGAACGGTCACCAGAAGAAGTTGCGGCCCGTCTTGCCCAGCAAGACAAAGAGGAGCAAGAGAAAATAAAAGGTGAGTCCTTACTGTCAGTGTCCCTGTTTGTGTTCTGTGGGACAGAAGAACTGTGGGACTGCACTGGCTTTAGAGTTCCAAGCTGCTTCCACACCCCTTTGTTGTTGTCCCCTGTTGAAGGGGCAGAGTGGTGTTCAAAGCTTCTTCCACCCACTCAGAAGTAACTGAGAGTTGAAGAATAATAGAAAATCTGAGGTTGGAATGGACCAACCAATTGAATGGTTCAAGGAAGATAGGAAAATTTACTTGTTTTCTCTTAAGAATCATTATAAGAAGTGAACATGGAATATACCTGCACACCCCTGCAAAATCGTGGGAAAGGTCTCCCACTGAGTAGAGTATTGCTTTTAGTGCAGACTTGCACCTTAATACTCCTGCTCTAAATGAGGAGCATGTTTTGTGACCTTCTGTAGGCTGCTGTGCAGTTCCAAACTGACCAGCTCTTCTGGGTCATAGAAAACAATGTAAAGAGATGCAGTAACATGTCATTCTACTAATTATAAAGTTCTTTTCTTTATTGTCTAATTGACTTTATTATTTTTTCCAGCTCTTGCAGCAACTCTAGAAGGAGCCCTAAACACAACTGCCCGTGTAACCCTTCAGGCTATCACTGCCCAGGAGTCAGCTGTGCAAGCAGTGAATGCTCATTCCCAGATCCTGAAGGAGGCCATGGATAATTCTGAGGTAAACGGGACAAATGGGGACAATTTTTTCTTTTTTATTGTGTTCAACAAAGTTTAATCTCACAATTAAACTTGGAAGCTTTTCTTGTAAGGTCCTTCCATTTATCACAGTTTTACTTAATCTTCCCTCTTGTGAAATATGGTGTAGTCAAATAATACAGTGGTTTTGACTGGTTTTGGTTTTTTTCCTGAACTCCTTTATTTCTTTTTTGCAGGAAGAAAAGTTCAAGTTAGTACATTAATAGTTTTCACATTGTATTTTAATTAATTGTATTTTAATTCCCAAGACCTTTTTTTTAACCTAGTTTAGGGTATCACACTGTCCACCCCAATAATTCCATTGAACTTATTCCCTTTGCCAAAATCTTCTTGCTTGATTGTTAATTTCTTGCCTGGAAATGGGATGGGGATGTACAAGTGATACCTTTTGTGGTCCTGCTGTGCTCACACTGGGGTTTGTCTGGAACTACTGCTGCTCATTCAGTTCTGGAGCAGAGGATATAATTCAGTTGTTAATCAATTAGGGACATGTGGGCAACTAACCAAGCACCCGAGACTTAATCTAGTAGTTAGTAAAATAACTGTCTTAAAGAGTTCCCTTTTAATTATTAATTATTAAGCTTGCTTGAAAAATAAAGCAACTTCAGTGTATTATAGTACTTTAATACATGTAGAGATTTCCCCTCAGAATTGTTGTGCACCATACAGTGATCCTCATGTGAGCTCTTCTGCGTGGACAAAGGTTGTGTGGCTCTGGAAAAAAAACATTAAGAATCAAACAAAACCAAAACAGGCATTGGAATGGGCTGCCCAGAGAGGTGGTGGATTCACCATCCCTGAAGATTTTTAAGCGCAGATTGGACGTGGCACTGAGTGCCATGATCTAGTAAATGGACTGGATTTGGACCAAGGGTTGGCCTCGATGATCTCGGAGGTCTTTTCCAACCCAATCGATTCTATGATTCTATGAAAACATGGGAAGAGAAACCTGACTTGTAAAGCTTCCAGCTGTGCTGTTGAAAATCACGAGAACGTTGCTCAGTTTGAGTGAATTGTTCAGCAACACATGAATCTCTGCAGGCTTTCATTTTTTCAGTATCTCTGACTCAGTGGTTGTAACGACCCTAATGAGGAATCTGTGCTTCCTTCTTAGGAGGCCGGGGAGAAGAAATCCTCCCAGTGGCGCACGCTGGAGGACGCGCTGAAGGACCGGAGGAGAGCGGTGGACGAAGCTGCTGACGCCCTGCTGAAAGCCAAGTGAGTTGCTTGGTTTAAGTCTTGGAGTAATAAGTCAGTATTGCTCATGTGAGGGCTGGCAAACACCAGAGGAGTTTCTACAAAGTGAGGACTCACCCGTGTTCGTACTGAACTGAGGGGTTTGTGCCAACCCAAAAAATAGTTTTATACGCTAATGAGTATTTTAATTTGATGTGTGTAAATCTTGGGTGCCTGTGCATGTGGTCCTCACTGTACCAAAGAGTCTGAAACAGCCCTGCTCTTCTTTTAAAGAACTTGTTTATCTTCTTAGTACTTCCACATAGTTTTGGTAAGTTCAAGTTAGATTAAAAAAAAACAATCCACAGTCCTTTTAGTATTATATTGGTTCATTTTGCCAGTATGAAACCTATTGTATGAGAAAGCTCTGGGGAGACCTTCGAGCACCTTCCAGCACCAAAAGGGGCTACAAGAGAGCTGGAGAGGGACTTTGGGCAAGCTCATGGAGAGATAGGACAAGGGGAATGGCTTCAAACTGACAGAGGGCAGGGTTAGCTGGGATATTGGGAAGAAATTCTTTACTGTGAGGGTGGTGAGACAAGGTTGTCCAGAGAAGCTGTGGCAGCCCCATCCCTGGAAGTGTTGAAGGTCAGCTTGGATGGTGCTTGCAGCAACCTGGGATAGTGGAAGATGTCCCTGCCCCTTGCAGGGATTTGGAACTGGGTGATTTTTAAGGTCCCTTCCAACCCAAACCCTTCTGTAATGACTCCACAGCTGCACTCCCTGTGTATTGAGTCAGTAACATCACCAGCTTCTTTTAGTTGTAACAAAAAATTAAACCTTCCAGCATCCCTTGGCAGTTCCATTTGCCCACAGGTTTGCTTTTAAGGTTAGATTTTTACTAAGTACCTGTCAAAGAAAAACTTAAATTCTGAAAGGGAGCTCTGCTCGTGCCCAGTCTCTGTATGAACCACGCTGATGTGCATTGAGGGTGCAGGGTCATTGCAGCAGAAAAAGGTTGACAGACAGCATCTCCAAGATGCCCTTGTAATGAGATTAGAAATAAATTTGGAAACCCTTTGATACTTCTGAGGCTGAGAGTGTTAACATCATCCTTGAAGTTGCATGGTTGCTGTTACATTATAAACTTATTTTTGAAGTTGCTGTTCTGACTAAAATTAGTGGGAGGTGTAACCGAGGTTCCACTTAGTAAAACAAAGCTAATGCAAACCCCACATGCACCACCTTTCATTCTCTATTGCTCTACTAGATATCTTTGCTTTTATTTATTTTCTTAATTTATTTATTTTCTTAATGTATTTATTTTAAAGCCTGTTCCTTATTCCAGTGAGATCACTGGAAACCTCCATTGGTTTGAATGGATTTGGAAAAGGAGCACTTTTTCCTTTATTTCCAGTTGTGCTGGAGGAAAGCAGTTCTTTCCTAATTACAAAAACCCATAATCTGTCTTTGCAGAGCCCTATAAATTTTCTCTCATCCTCATTAATCTCCACCAGTCACCATGTCCAAAACACTTCTGCAAGCGTAAGCCATCTATATTAAAAATGTTTCTTTGCTGGAAATGTCTGCTGTCTGATTCTAACTTAGTTTTACTAATCCTAACTCCTTTCAGTGAACTTTCATCCTCCCTCCAGTTAAATCTTAAATACTAATTCCAGTATAAATAATTCTCATTTTACATGGCATAGCCACAGTGGCATCTTTAGGTTTCAGGATGTGGAAAAAAAAAATAAAATTTAATCACAGCATCTTAGAGCTGATAGATGGGAAGCAGCAGTAGAGTTACCCAGTAGTTCTTCCTGTAAATACCAACAGCATAAAGTAAATTTTCTTTGGGGTGATAAGCCCTGCATATGTTACATTCAGCAGCTGCTTCTCTTTCCAGAGAGGAGTTAGAGACGATGAAAGGTGTCATCGAGAAGGCCAAGAAATCTCAGCTTGCAGGAGCCAAACCTCACATTGTTGCTGCAGAAGAAAATCTCCATCATATGATCATTGACTTGGACAATGTGGTGAAAAAGGTAAAATTTCCTCACAGTGTTTGTAATTGCCATTAGTGTAGGGAATCCTTGGCAGCTTGCACAGAGCTCCCATTCCCAAATCCTCTGTAGGAGGTATAAATCAGTCCTTTTGTAGCTGTACTCAGCCTCTGAGCTGGTTGTATTGCCAGTGATCAGACACCTCTCTTTGTGAGAACTTGAACTCTGTCCTGAAAGAGCCTCCAGGCAGCTTGATTGGTGTCAGTCCTTTCTGCTAGAGACTTATAATTCTTTCAGTTTGATTCCAAGAGGAATTTAGCATGAGGTTAGGGAAGAGTTGGAACAATGTATGCTAATGACTTGGGGGGGTAAATCACTTTGCAATTCAAAAGACTGGGGAAGAAACATAAAGGTGGAATTTATCTCCCTTTGCAGGACAGCACAGGGTGGGTTTTTGTGCTCCCCCAAGTGAGTAACAATATCTGCCAGTAACACAGGGCCTGTTTTTAAATTATGTGTGTCTTCAATTTCAGTACTTGCCTTGAAAAACAAACCGGTGTCATTTTTGTTACAGGTTCAGGCAGCACAATCTGAGGCCAAGATAGTTGCTCAGTACCATGAGCTGGTGGCTAAAGCCAGAGAGGAGTTCCAGAGGGAGCTTGACAGCATCACCCCCGATGTGAAGCCTGGCTGGAAGGGCATGAGTAAGTCTCCCACTGTGGGGTTACATCCTGCTTGTTGCACTTTGGTTTGTAGTGCTTCTGTAACTACAGCCACCCAATGTCCAGCATCCCAATTTCCACATTGGTTGGTTGGTTTGAAGTGAAAATTAGTTCAGAATTGAAGTTATGAAGAGGATTAGTTCTGGGAACTGCCTGTGCTGTATTGGAAGTGTCACAAACTGTAGGTCCTGTATGATAAATATCATAGGGTTTTATGAACATCTCTTCCCTCCCCTGGTACTCCAGGAAGGGAGCCAGGTCACTGCAGATTTGAGTCAAATCTGCTAGTCACTGATAAGTCTGGCTGACTCTGTGACTATAGGTATTGTAAAACACCATTATTACAGAGTGATAAAGAACTCCCTGAGTTTCTCTACATCATCACTGAAACCGAGAGATTTCATTGCTCATAACCCTGCCTGCCCCAGGACATGTCATTTCTGAATTAAACTGACACTGTGACTTACCTGTAACAACAGCCAGTGCTGCACAAAGCAGTGAACAGGCATCTTCACAGTCAGCTCACCCACAGGTTCCCTCTGCCCACAGGTTCCCTTACTCACCTTAACTGCTTTGATTTTAAAGACAGAGTTGCAGAAAGTGGAGTGTGTGCGTTCACCATTACTGTGGATGAGCTACTGCAAGAACCCATGTGTGGTATATCCTTGGAGAAATTACTGCCTGTGGTGTTTAAAAACTAATTCCCTGAAAAAAAAACCAAAAACAAACCCATTCTCAGATACTTCCAGTCAGGGTTTAACATAAATGCACTAAGTAATCTCAGACTTTTCTAACCTCAGTGTTGAGAGGCAGCTGTCATGGCTTTATTTATGAGTTACAGGGATTTTAATAGAAGTGATAACTGCCATTTGAAAAAAAAAATGTGGTGTTAATATTGCCTAAATGTTTTTTCTTGAAGTATGCAATGAAGAATTAAACACTCTTTCTTAATGCTACTTTATGCTTTAGAAAAGTGGACCTTAGCCCCCAGATCATTTTCCTGGCTAAATGAACACACCAGGTCTCTGGAATGGTCAGTTTTCTTTTAAAAAACAGCCAACCACACACCCAGTATATGTGGGGAAAACATTTTAAATTAACAAATCGTTTGTGGAGTTTGCTTTTGGGATGTTAGTTTTGAAGAAAACAACTTATTTACACACCCTGGAGGTGGAGCTGCCTTTCCTTGCAAAGGATAAAAGGAGAACATCTTGGGTTTTGTCATCACTGCCCTTCTGTGGAAGGAAAGGGAAGCTCCTGGTGGCTTCCATGTGCTCCACTTCTTACTGGTGTGACCTACTGATGCACATGGGACTGACTTTTGGGGGTCCCTGGCTCTCACTGCCACTTGGGAATTTGGGTTTTTTACCATCTGCTTCTGTTTGTAAGAACCTAGAAACGTCAGACTGAAATTTCCAGTGTCCTGTAGTACTTTCCTACTTTGGACTTGTATCCTTGCTTTGGCTGAACTTAAAACATCCATCTGTGGGTTTCTGAGGGTGATTTTAGTGTTTGGGGTATTTGGGGCTACATCAGAGACTTTTATACTTGACATCCTGTTCTTCCTGAATTCCTGAAGTTTTGGGCTCATGTTTAAGTCACTGTAGATAAGCTCTTGGGCTCATGTTTAAGTCACTGTAGATAAGCTCTTGGGCTCATGTTTAAGTCACTGTAGATAAGCTCTTGGGCTCATGTTTAAGTCACTGTAGATAAGCTCTTAGTTTTCTGTTTTACTTTTGCATGACTGCCTTGCTGTAGTGAACGTGCATTAACTTTTCCAACCTCTCTCCTTTTCTATTGCAGAGATAACTGACTTAGGTGAGTTACTGTCACTTGTTCTTGTCCTGTAAATGCCATCTCTTCTCTTTGTCCTGTTCATGTTTATGTGGTGCATGACTCTAAATTACAGGCAGTATCAACAAAGGGCTGAAACGTGGCATTCCTAGAACATTTCTGCACATTTGGCACAATTAAACCACAAACTCTGTTCTGTTTTAAGTGTTAAGTCCAACAGCTGAGCTTAGTGCTGCTGGTCACTTGCCCACTGGACACAAGCACTGCTGCTCCCAGTCCTCCCTGTGCCAGTCCTTTTCCCAGCACCCAGCAGCAGGATAACTGAAGCACTGTGGAATTTCACTTGCTTTAGACCCTGCAGGAATGCTTTCCCAAGTAGTCCTGGTTTTCCATACAGGCAATTTAGCTGGCAGCCAGTGCAAAATGAGCCTCAGCATTTTACAGAGCCCTTTCAGGTCACCAAATGCTGCAAGCATATCTTGGGCCCTCCTGTCCCAGCAGGAAAAGAGTAAATACCTGGCAGATACAATGTGGCTGTGATTCCTGCTGCTCTTTGAGCAGCCAAATCTGAAAGGTACAAACTCAGGGGTAAGAAATCTGAGGAGATAATTGAGGCTGTCTCACACTGACTGCAGTGTTTTCAGGCACCCACTTCTATGAGCTTGTACCCGCTGGAGGTGTCAGTGCTCGGGGTTTTACATCCCCTGCTGCTCTCTCTGCTGGCACAGGGGAAAATACGTGGTGGTGTAAAGACCAAGAAACGAACAGAGTTGTCATCAGTCCCCTCTAATCGAGTTTGACCTGGATATGGGAGTGTAAATAGCTGGGAATAATTTGGAAGGAAGTAAGGTAATTCCTCTCCCAGAATGAAAGCGCTTCCCTGTAGGTGTGATTCAGAAAGTGGTCTCGGGTGGGCATTGGCACCGGGCAAGGGCTTGAAGCGCTCAGAAGGTTTTCGTAGAACAAGCTCACTGGTCACAACCCCAGGGAGCCTCAGAGCACTCGGGTGGGAGGCGGGTGAGCCCCGTGGCAGCAGATTCCCTGACTCCCTGTGCTTCCCTTCAGCTGGGCAGTTGTCCCCGGACGACCTGAACTCCCTGATCGCACACGCCCACCGGCGCATCGACCAGCTGAACAGGGAGCTGGCGGAGCAGCGCGTGAGGGAGCAGCAGCACATCGAGACAGCCCTGGAGAAGCAGAAACTTGAAGACAAAAAAGCATTTGAGGCAGCTGTGGCCAAAGCGCTGGAGCGTCACAAAAGCGAGATCGAGCTAGAACAGGAGAAGAAGGTAAAGTGGCCTGACACACCTGGTTGAATCTCTGGCTCAAAAAAAGAGGTAGAAAAGGGAGGGGAAGTGCACAGAGGAGCAGCTGGGGTGTTCTGAGTGGTGGGAGACTTCAGATGAGTGACCCCCAGGCTAAGCATGGAGAGGAGGTGTTGAGCAAGGAAACTTCTGCTGAGTTAGAATGGTAAAATCACACAGTGAAACAGGGAATGACTGTCATGTGACTTGTCTGCTGTTGGAGATAGGATCACTGGGTCAGAATAAATCACAGAATGGTTTGGGTTGGAAGGGACCTTAAGAATCATCTTGTTCCAACCCCCTGCTATGGGCAGGGGCACCTTCCACTAGACCAGGTTGCTCCAAGTGCCATCCAGGCCTGGTCTTTAAGACTCCCAGGGATGGAGCATCCACAGCTTCTCTGGGCAGCCTGTGCCAGGGCCTCACCACCCTCACAGTAAAGAACTTCAGTGTTGCATCTGACCCAGTATGGCCACCATGGGGCTATCAGTCCCTCCGTCCTGCCTCCAGGAGGTATCTCCATGTTCTTCCACTCTTTATTTGATTTCTTTCCAAAGGACTGTGGAACCTCAGAATTTTAATACTGCTTTGGAAGTGAGGCAATTGCAACTTAAAAAATGTAGGAATTTGGGCACTGGAGGTTTTATCTTTTGAGATCCCATGTTGCAGGCTGACACTTTTGCCAAATACTCCTGTTTTTGAAAATGGGGTTAAACGCTGGCCCTTACTTGAAAAATTTGCATTCACATGAGGGAAACTAAGGATTTCACCTGTAGCCTGTCATTGTAAAGACTGCAATACTTTACAGATTAGAGAAAAGAGCTCTACTGATTTAGGTTGGAAATGAAACAATCCTTTAAAAAAAGCCAAAAACCAACAGAAAAAACTATTCAACTGCTCCTAGATAAACCTATACCACCTCTCTTCTGCAGTCTCAAGTGGCTGTGTAGGGAAAAGGTAACGTGTTTTGTTTGGAAGCTGGTTTATAAACACCCAAGTGTTTCATTTGACAAGTTACTGTATTTTTTACATGCCGTTGTGATAGCTGCACTAAGGGCCTCCTGTGAAGCTATTCCTTAACAGCTTTAGGGAAAAGCTCAACTATAAAACTGGACCTCAGCAGCTTTTTAGGATGAAACATGGGCCTTGTCAATGCCACTGCTGTAAATGTACCCTCAGCAATCCCTGGTGTGTGGTGCAGTCACAGTGTGGGACAAGCAGGGCTGTTGTAACATCTCATGTGTGTCCAGATCGAGGAGGTGCGGGAGGTGATGGAGAGCGAGATGCGGACCCAGCTCCGGCGCCAGGCTGCTGCCCACACTGACCACCTCCGGGACGTGCTGAAGATCCAGGAGCAGGATCTGAAGGTGGAATTTGAGCAGGTAAGGGAGAAGAGTCCACAGAGGAATTAAAGGGATAAGCGCAGTAACTGTTAAATTCACCTCAGTAAGGTTTCTCACTGGTTTCTCACTGGTATATTGTATTTTCTGTCCCTAGCAAGAACAACAGATTTAAAGAAACATGTCTTAAAAGTAAGGTAGATATAATTAACCCTCTGTTTCTGGTCTGATACATGTATCTCCCTCTGTTTCAGAACCTAACGGAGAAGCTCAGTGAGCAGGAGATGCAGTTCAGACGCCTTACTCAGGAACAGCTCGACAACTTCACCTTGGACATAAACACTGCCTATGCCAGGCTGAAGGGAATTGAGCAAGCAGTCGAGAGTGAGCACTGAAATCCCAGTTTTTTAAAGACTTGATCCCCAAAGGCCCATTACCCAAACCTGGGTGTCTAAACCCATGTAGCTCATGGGCCTGGGTTTGCCACACTGCTGAGCACCCAGCAAAAACCAGATGAGCGAATCTAAAGGGGTTCTCCCAAAACGTGTTGTTTTGTTCTGGTTCTGAATTGTGGGGCAGACTTGCTTTAGAGCAGGTGCTGAGGGGGTGGCTGCTTTGGAAAGCAGAGTGTGGAGAGGAATAGCTTTTGCTGCTTGTGCTCAAAACCACGTGCCCCAACTGAGAGTCCCTTCTTGGCTCACCTTGCAGGTCACGCAGTAGCAGAGGAGGCAGCCAGGAAGGCCCACCAGCTGTGGCTCTCCGTGGAAGCGCTCAAATACTGCATGAGAACAGCCACAGGGGACAGTCCCACGGAGCCCCTGGGCAGCGCAGTGAAGGCCATCCAAGCCAGCTGCTCCGACAACGCCTTCACGGAAGCCTTAACAGCGGCGCTCCCCGAGGAGTCCCTGACGCGGGGGGTGTACAGCGAGGAGGCCCTCAGAGCACGGTTCCACACAGTCCAAAAACTGGCAAAGCGAGTGGCCATGATCGATGAGACGAGGAACAGCCTCTATCAGTACTTCCTGTCCTACCTGCAGTCGCTGCTGCTGTTCCACCCCCAGCAGCAGAAGCCGCCGGCCGAGCTCAGCCCCGACGACCTCGACACGTTTAAGTTACTGTCTTACGCCTCCTATTGCATCGAACACGGAGACCTGGAGCTGGCGGCCAAGTTTGTCAACCAGCTGAGAGGGGAGTCCAGGAGGGTGGCAACCGACTGGCTGAACGAGGCAAGGATGACCCTGGAAACCAAACAGATTGTGGATATCTTGACAGCTTATGCCAGTGCTGTGGGGTTGGGAACAACTCAAGTGCAGAGTCAAGAGCCAGGATTGTAGCTTTGGAGGCAGCTCAGCAATTCTGTGCAGGAAAGAAATCCCATGAGCTCCCGAGGGTTCAGGCCGAGCTGTTGGCAGGGGCTGGAAGTGTTAAATCAAAGCACGGGTACCGTCTTGTTTCCTTGCACTGTATTTAACTTCACCATCTGTTGTATTTTTATTGGGTTTGAGTTGTCATGACAACCAACTTCAGGAAGCTTCCCTACAATTTGTGTAAGAATTAATGTTTCCCCATCTTACCAAGTGGGCTTGTGATCCAACCAAAATAATGTTTGTAACCTGCCATTAATCATTTGCCACTTTGTCAGCTGAATAAAACAAGACTTCAACCACTTGCTGCTGTGCTGCTGTTTAGTCTCCTGTTTAAACATAAACTACAGCTGGAGCAGTACAAGCTCAGCCTTTTTCCATGACCAGAAGAGTTAAAACTTCAGTTTACTCCTTTCAAGGAGCAAGAATTCACTGATGTGATTCATCAATTTGTACAGCTTTAACAAACAAACAAAAAAATTAAAAAAAAAAAATCCATGTTTGAGGACAGGATCCATAGACAGAAGCTGGAGTCAGAGCACATACTGAGGTGAATTTCTACCCTGGAATGTTTCCTGTCAGACCTGCTGTGATGTAGTTTCAGAACACCAGCTATTTCTACCAGGAAGCCAGACTTGGTTCAACCATGAGAGCTCAGATAAAAACCAAGCTCCTTCCTTCCTTCTCTTACTTTTCCCCTAATTCTTACCATCAGTGAAGAGAGACTGATCAATTTAGGAACTGGGGCTTTGTCTACTTGTTCCCAGTTTTAAATTGTTGGTAGGATAAAGCACAAAGCATTATCACCACCCTTGGAAGCCCTTTCTCTTGACCTGCAGCATCATCCCCATCATGGTTTTATATTTCACAAACAGAATTAAATGTTAATTACTTTTCACCAGAATATGGTGTAATTCTCTCAGGAGCAATCCTTTGCTTTATTCACAATAATTACCTTAAAAAAACCCTTCAAGCTGAGCAGCACAATGCTGT